ATGATAAGGCGAGAAATCAAGCGGACCAAGCGGCGAAGGCAAGCGGACCAAGAGGCGAAGGCAAGCGGGCCAAGAGGCGAAAGCAAGCGGGCCAAGAGGCGAAGGCAAGCGGGCCAAGAGGCGAAGGCAAGCGGGCCAAGAGGCGAAGGCAAGCGGGCCAAGAGGCGAAGGCAAGCGGGCCAAGAGGCGAAGGCAAGCGGGCCAAGAGGCGAAGGCAAGCGGGCCAAGAGGCGAAGGCAAGCGGGCCAAGAGGCGAAGGCAAGCGGGCCAAGAGGCGAAGGCAAGCGGGCCAAGAGGCGAAGGCAAGCGGGCCAAGAGGCGAAAGCAAGCGGGCCAAGAGGCGAAGGCAAGCGGGCCAAGAGGCGAAGGCAAGCGGGCCAAGAGGCGAAAGCAAGCGGGCCAAGAGGCGAAGGCAAGCGGGCCAAGAGGCGAAGGCAAGCGGGCCAAGAGGCGAAGGCAAGCGGGCCAAGAGGCGAAGGCAAGCGGGCCAAGAGGCGGGCCAAGAGGCGAAAGCGGGCCAAGAGGCGAAAGCAAGCGGGCCAAGAGGCGAAGGCAAGCGGGCCAAGAGGCGAAGGCAAGCGGGCCAAGAGGCGAAAGCAAGCGGGCCAAGAGGCGAAGGCAAGCGATTCACGAGGCGAAGGCAAGCGGGCCGCCGTTCGAAGGAAAGCCACGAAGACGAGAACAAAACAGCCGTAAGTCCTCAGCGGTGGAGAGCGAAACCGCTGTAAGGGTCATGGCCACGGCACAAAGGCTAGGCGGTGGCGACCTTATGTTCAGAATCGCAACGAGAGATGGGCAGGCAGGAAGGGGGAGGGGTGGAGGGGAGGCAGGTAGGAAGGGAGGGAGGGTGGAAGGGGTACGAGAAGGGGGGGGGAGGGGAAGGAAAGGGTGGGGGTTAGGGGGAGGGGAGAGGAGGGAGGGAGAGGGGGAGGGGGTAGGGGTAAAGGGTAGGGATAGGGATAGAGAATGGGGAGGGGTAGGGGCGGGTAGGTGTTAGGAGGAGGGGAGGGGCGGGAGGGAGAGCGGGAGGGGCGAGTAGGGGGAAGGAGATGGGGAGGGGGAGGGGGTGGGGAAAGAAGGGAGGGGAAGGGGCGCGGGTAATGGGAAGAAGAAGGAAGAGGTTTAAGGGGAAGAAGGAGGGGGGAGGAGAGGGAAAGGGGAAGAGATGGAGGAAGGGGAACAGGAAGGGTGGTGGAATGGGTAAGGAAAAGTAGGGAGAGGAGTAGTACGAAAAGGAAAAGGAAAAGGGGAAAAGAATAGAAAAAAAAGAGTAGATATCGAAGAGACAGAATGAGAGAGAAGTTGGAAAGAGAGACGAAACAAAAAAACAAAAAACAAAAAAAAAACGGGTACGAAGGAAAAGATAAGAGAAGAAGGAAGGCGTAAGGGGGAATAAGAGAGAGAGAATAAGAAGAACGAGGCACTGACAAACCTTCTTGAAGTTCATGTTTCGAGCGAGAGAGGCCTGGCGGGCGAGAGCTTAAAGACCGGCGCGCCACGGCATAAGGAAATAAAATTCGTAACACTCAGTCTTAAGCTTTTAGGGTGAACTTTGGAAATTTATATCACGTGGTACACCGTAAGGTCATGGGGTACGGACGAGAGAGCGAGGGAGGGGGAGAAACAGACAGGTATTAATTGATATATGTAAAAGTAGAGACATATATTGCTAAATTGTTTAACATGCACACAAACACATAACACATATATAGATATATTCAAATATATATAGATTTATACAAATATCTTTCTCTATGTGTATATGTTTATATATATATATTCATATATATGTACACACACACTTATATATATATATTTTTTTTTTTATTTTATTTTTTTTTTTTCAACAGCCATTCATTCCACTGCAGGACATAGGCCTCTCTCAATTCAGTTGAGAGGTTATATGGCGGTGTCACCGTTACCTGATTGAATGCCCTTCCTAATCAACCGCAGTTCGGCGCGTTAACACTTTTGCCACGGCGGTGACTTCCCCTACGACACCTGCGTTTGACTTCTCAAGCCGATATGTCGTTTTCTCGGGCTCGAGGTAGCAGTCAGAGCGCAGGCATTTTTTACAACTACCGCGATGGGGAATTGAACCCGGGACCACGAGGGTGGGAGTCCAGTGCTCTAACCACTGAGCAATCGCGGCAGTATATTATATATATATATATATATATATATATATATATATATATATATATATATATATATATATATATATATACATATATATATATATATATACATATATATATATATATATATATATATATATATATATATATATATATATATATAAATATACATATATATATATATATATATATATATATATATATATATATATATATATATATATATATATATATACATATATATATATATATATATATATATATATATATATATATATATATATATATATATATATATATATATATATATATATATGTATATATATATGTAAACCATCCCATCCCCTCCCGACGCTGTTCTC